AAAAATGAAAGAAAAAACGAAAAAAAAAGTTTTATCTTGAAAATATTATACAATGATACAACACATACATGTATAATGTAATATGTATGTACAGTTTAAAAATAACAAGTCCAGATGCACAGGCTCACACCTGTAACCCCAACATTTTGGGAGGTCAAGGTGGGGGAGGATTGCTTGAGGCCAGTAGTTCAAGATCAGCCTGGGTAACACAATAAGACCTTGTCTCTACAAAAAAATAAACACTAGCCAGGTGTGGTGGTATGCACCTATATTCTCAGCTACTCAAGAGGCTCAGATGGGTGAATCATTGGAGCCGAAGAGTTCCAGATCGCCCTGGGAAACATGCCAAAAACCCTGTCTCTACCAAAAATACAAAAATTAGCTGGGCTTGGTGGTGTGTGCCTGTGGTCCCAGCTACTCAGAAGGCTCAAGTGGGAGGATCACTTGAGCCTGAAAGGCCAAGACTACAGTGAGTTGTGATCGTGCCATTGAACACCAGTCTGGGTGACAGAGCAAGGCTTGTCTCCAAAAAAAATAAAATAAAATAAAGAAATAAATAAAGAAAAAGCAACCCAACTTGAGAAAATATACACAACGCAACTTGAGAAATATAACATTACCAGTCCCTTTGTTTTTTTTTTCCTTTTCTTTTCTTTTTTTTTTTTTTGAGACAGAGTTTCGCTCTTGTTGCCCAGGCTGGAGTGCAATGGCGCGATCTCAGCTCACCGCAACCTCCGCCTCCTGGGTTCAAGCAATTCTCCTGCCTCAGCCTCCCGAGTAGCTGGGATTACAGGCGTGCGCCACTATGCCCAGCTAATTTTTTGTATTTTTAGTAGAGACAAGGTTTCTCCATGCTGACCAGGATGGTCTCGATCTCTTGACTTCGTGATCCACCTGCCTCAGCCTTCCAAAGTGCTGGGATTACAGGCGTGAGCCACTGCGCCCGGCTGGTTTCTTTTTTAAAAAATTATTTTTAGTTATTTTTATTTGCTGGGAACATTGGCTCATGCTTGTAATACCTGCACTTTGGGAGGGAGGCCAAGGTGGGCAGATCATGAGGTCAGGAGTTCGAGACCAGCCTGTCCTGATCAACATGGCAAAAGCCAGTCTCTACTAAAATACAAAAATTAGCTGGGCGAGGCAGCTTGTGTCTGTAATCCCAGCTACTTGGGAGGCTGAGGCAGGAGAATTGCTTGAACCCAGGAGGTGGAGGTTGAAGTGAGTAAGATGCCACCATTGCACTCCAACATGGCGACAGAGCAAGACTGTGTCTCAAAAAAATATATTATTACTATTATTTTTTCCTAACCTCTTGGCAGTTGCCAGATTACTAGC